GAAAACAACCAGTCAGAAATGAAGAATACAATATTTGAAATAAAGAATACACTAGAAAGAATAAAGAATAGGTTGGATGAAGCAGAGGACTGAATCAGTGATTTGGAACACAACGAGAGAGAAGAAAACACCAAATCAAAGCAGCAAAAGAAAAAAGATTTAAAAAGAATGAGGATAGGTTAAAAGGGAACTTTAGGACAACATGAAATATAACAACATTCACATCATAGGGGTATCAGAAGGAGAAAAACAGGAGTAAGGGGTAGAGAACCTGTTGAAAGAAATGGCAGAAAACTTCCCTAACCTGGTGAAGGAAAAATTCATACCAGTTCAAGAGGTACAGGTAACCAAAAGAGATGAACCCAAAACACATACACCAAGACACATCATAATTGAAATGGCAAAGATTAAAGAGAGAGAGAATCATAAAGGCAGCAAGAGAGAAATAGTCAGTTACCTATAAGGGAGCTCCCATAAGACTGTCAGATGATTTCTCAGCAGAAACACTTCAGGACAGAAGAGATTGGTATGAAGTACTCAGAGTAATGAAAAGCAAGGACTTGAATCCAAGACTAACTACTCTATCCAGCAAGGCTATCATTAAAAGCTGAAGAAGAAATAAAGAGCTTCCCAGACCCCCCCTCAAAAGAAAAAAGGCTAAAGGAGTACATTATTACCAAACTAGCATTGTGAGAAAAGTTAGTCACTATTTAAGAAGAAGAAATACGATTAGTGAGGAATATAGGTATAAAGAAAATATAATAAATAAGTCCTCATGGATAATAAGCTAAAATGTAAATGGATTAAGTGATCCAATCAAAAGATATAGCAGTGTGGATAACAAAACAATTCATAGCAGTGTGTATAACAAAACATGATCCATATATATGCTATCTACAAGAGACTCACTTCATAACAAAAGGCTCACACAGGATGAAAGTGAAGAAAACTCTTGAAGTGCTTAAAGGGAGAGATTGACAGCAACATAGCCACAGTGGAGGACTTTAACATATTGCTGACATCACTGGTAAGTCTTTGAGACAAAAAAATCAACAAGGAAACAGCAACTTTAAAGGACACAATGGATCAGATGGACTTAATTGATCTTTCCAGAACATTTTATCCCACAGCAACAGAATATACATTCTTCTCAAGTGCATATGGAGCGTCGTCAAAGACAGACCTCATGTTAGGACACAATATAAGTCTTACCAAATTTAAGAAGATTGGAATCATATGCAGCATCTCCTCAGATCACAACGGCATGAAACTAGAAATCAGCTACAATAAAAAAAAAACACCTCAAAAACATTCAAACACATGGAAGCTAATAGCATGCTCAATGGTTGCCCAGTGAAATCAAAGAAGAAATAAAAAATGACCAGAAAACAAATGAAAATGAACACACAACAACCCAACATCTATGGGACACAGTGAAAACAGTTCTGAGAGGAAAGGTCATAGCATTTCAGGTCTACCTCAAGAAGCAAGAAAAACCTTGCAAAAGCCATTTCACCATACATCTAAAAGAACTATAAAAACCCCACAGTAAGAGAAGGAAGGAAAAACAAAAGAGCAGAGCAGAAATAAATAATATAGACATGAAAAAAATACAAAAGATGAATGAAACCAGAGCTGGTTCTTTGAAAAGATAAACTTGATGAACCTTTAGCCAGACTCATCAGGAAACAAAGAAAGAGGACCCAAATATATAAAAGCAGAAATGAAGAGGCCAAGTAACAACTAACAGCACAGAAGTACAATGAATAGTAAGAAAAGACTATGATCAACTATACACCAATAAATTGGGCCAAATGAACAAATTTCTAGAAAAATACAATCTTCCAAAAAAAAAAAATCAGGAAGAACTAGGAAACCTGAATAGACTGATATTAACTAATGAAATGAAAGTAGTAATTTTAAAAAAATCCCAGCAAACAAAAGTCCTGAACCAGATGGTTTCACAAGTTACCAACATTTAAGGAACTAGCACCTGTCGTCCTCAAGGTATCCCCAAAAAGCACGAGGCGGGAAGACTTCCAAGCTCTCTTTACGAGGCCAGCATCATCCTAATTCCAAAACCCATAAAGACTCCACTAGGAAAGGGTCAGCTGCATGTCCCTTACTAACGCCCTTCTCTCACAGAAGCGTCTGCTAACAGAGGGTAGGGTCTGCCTCCCTGGAGCAGCACCACGGGTAGAGTGTCTCATTCCTGCCACAGTCCCCCAGCTTCTCTGCGTTGGGTCTTGCCCCACGCAGGCCGACTCTGTCCCAGGCCCACTACAGGCGCTGGGATAGCCAACTGACAGCTTTTTCTTGGCATCAGTGCTCACGCACCCTGCTCTCTCACACAAGTGTCTGTGTCTGTAGCTCACAGTCTTGGGAGCGCACTCCCAGAGAACTCTCCCCACCCCCCACCCCACCCCCATGGATGGTGGGTCCTATTTCATCCCTCCATCTACATATCCCAGAGCCCTCAACTCTCAGTTAACCAGTGGTTGGTGAATCTCCCCTCCGTGCCTCTAGTCTCCTCCCAGTATTCTGGCCATTTCCCTGTTTGGGGGTGTCTCTCCCAGCATGTGGGCGGAGACATGGTTAGGAGAGAAGTTCAAGCTTAGGGCTTAGAATGGAAAGAGACTTGGGTGGTGATGGCAACGTGGGAACGAGCAAATACTGAGCAGCCACAGCGTGCCAAGCTTTGTCCGAGAAACCGCACGTGTGGCCGTTCTAGTTCGTCCTCATGACAGCCTCCGAAGGTCCCACTCATCTCCCTCTTTTGCAGGTGAGGAGAGTAAGGTCCAGGGCTCGAGGGACAGGGAGGGGACAGGCCCTCAGCCACTGCTCACAGCTCTGCTCTCCTGCTCCCTCCCCCCAGGGCTCAGCACAGGAGCCACATCCACCCTCCAGCCCCAGAGTCCTGCTTCCTCGACAGTTTCACCCATTTTACGAAAAGAGAAAATAAAGCTCAAAAAGGCCACTCAGTGGCCGTCGTGGCCAGGTGCTGAGCAGCTCTGACCCGGCCCAGATCCTCTCCACCAGATGCTAACTGGCCTCGGCTTCTCCCAGAGCCTGAGCCCTGGGGTTCCCCTGGGTAGGGGTGTGGAGGGGGCGGGAAACCGAGGAGGGTTAGCTGGAATGCGGTGTTTACTCTGTGGCCTCCGGCTGCTCCCTGTGGTCCCCACTGGCACATAGAAGCCGACCTTGTTTATTTTGCTACTTGAGAACAGTTCAAAGGGGGAAATCCACAGACAGATGCAGGCCCTCCCTCTGAGGAGAGAGGAGGCCGCCCCAGCCTGGCCCGCGTGTCTGAAGAAGTCCGCTGTCTTACAGGCGGATGGGACTCTCCCTGCTTCCTGCCCCTCTCCCTGCCTGTCCCCACCTCACCCGGGTGGGCGCTCTGCCATCCGCCCAGCAGCCGCCCCCGAAGAGCAGGTTTATTCAGAGAAACTGGAAGCCATTTGGCAAGAGGAAAAGGAAGCCATTGTTAGCTTGCAGTTGGAGTCACATAACCTTTTCTTTCTAAAACATTTACATTCACATCCACGCCTCCCGTTGCTACAGGACATTAGGAATCTGCCCGACACCCGGACGATAGGAAAGAGCCGCGCAGTCAGCAGAGCTGCTGGCCTGAGTGGGATGTCGGCGCCCCTTTCCTTCTTAAAAAAGTCTGACTGTGAGTAAGAAAGAATCTCCTTCAGAAAGGAGAGTGGGAAAGCATGAAGCTTCTTTTTGCTGCAGATGTTATGCCCTCACCCCGGAATGCAGCAGTAGGGGGCGCTACTGCGCTCGTTCCAGCTGGAAAATGCAAGCCTCCATCTACAAGGACACGCACAGGGCCCACAGGGCCAGGCAACACTGTGTGAACTCCCACGGGACTCTCACCCTGCCGCCCGACTCCTCCCTTTTCTCAGAAAGACAGACTGTCCCAGGGAGCCTAGCCCGGCAGCAAGCAAGCTGGGATTTCAGCCCCGGTGAAAGCGCCCTTCCGACAGGGACCTGCTGGCTCCATGGGCCCAGGAAGGCAGGCCAGGAAGCGGCATGTGCTCCTCCGTCCGGCCTCTGGTTGACATGTTGCATCCATTTGAACCACAACACTTTTTTTAAAGAAAGAAATCCCAGCATTGGCGCCAGGTCTGCTCGGTGACCTCTGTGATGACCTCTCCGGTGGGGGATTAAGGTTGCACACGGTTTCAACCATCAACCCCTCGGGGTCTTGGTTGTTGCTATTTGAATAAATATCTGGTTGCGATGAGTCTTCATGAACAAACATGAAAGCTGGGGCCCCCACACGCTGAGGAGCTGCTGTGGCCTCTCGCGCAGCCTCCTGCGTCACTGCACCTGCCTGCACTCGGGAAGGGCCATTGCATTTACCAAACAGGCCAGCAGAGCAGGGCCTCTGGCTTCAGGCAGGAGGGAGGGGCTCTGCTGTCTGGGCAGCGGACCTGGGCTCTCCCTGCCCAGCTGACTGCGGAGGCCACAGCCCTCCAGGCACCACGAGGGCGCCTCTGAAACAACCATCCACTTGGAGGTTTCTCTGTGGATGCAGCAACGGGACGGGTGGTGGGGGCTGTCAGTCAAAGCCTGCACTGGGTGGTGGGTGTGACTGTGTTCACACCATTTCCACGGCGTGGCCACGTGGCTACCACTGTTTCAACCAGGCCCGTGAGAAACTAAACTTACTCTCTCCCCAGTTACTCCTGCGCTTGACGTGTATGTGTGTGTGTGTGTATGTGTGTGTGTGTGTGTGTGTGTGTGTGTGGTGTAGAATAGGAAACAGGACTATAAATGCACTTTAAGACGCACAGCAGACAGACACTGTGTTAACGAGGGAGCCAGGGCAGCTCCCTCACAACATATAACTCAGTCAAGCATTTTACAAGCTCTTTGCGAGGCAGGGAGAGCCGCGCACCCTGCGGCACCGGCAGCCCCCAGCCGAGCAGCAGGCCTGGGAGAGTTTCCCAGGGAGCCCGCCCGACCCTGCGCCGGTGGTGATGTCTCACCTTGACTTTCCCGTAGCTCCCTTTGGGGATGAGGATCTTGTAGCCGTTCACCTCCACGGAGAGCTCCCTCAGCGTGGAGACGGCCTTGCCGGCCCGGCGCTCATTCTTGGCCTCCACGCTGAAGAAGGGGAGGTGGGCCGCCCGCACGCAGTGCCGGGCCAGAAGGTAGGCGCAGGAGCCCTGGAAATGGAAGACGAAGCCGTCGAAGGTGCGGTAGTGCGGCTCCCCGAACACCACGCAGGTGCCGGTCTCCACGGGGCTGCAGGAGGAGAACTTGCCTTTGGGCTCGCACACCTCATAGGGGCTGCAAGCGGCCTCCTGGCAGTAGATCTCATTGTTGAAGTCCAGGCAGCGGCACTTGATGGTGCAGTTGAGGTCCTCCCAGAACACCTCCCCTCGCCGCAGGAACTGCCCTGCGACAACGACAGAGAGCGCGTTTGCCGAGGGCTCTCCATGGGCGCAGGCCTGGGCCCAGCGCTGGACGGTGTGACACCCTCTACGCCACCACAGCAACCTTAGTTGTTGCCCTCCCCTGACAAGGGAGGGATGAGGCCTAAGAGAAACTGCGTCACTTTTCCAAGATCACTAGTGGGGAAGCCGGGTCCACGCGAGTCTGTCCGTGTCCAGCCGGAGCTCTTGGCGTGACCCCTTCCACGCTGGTGCGCAAGCCTCATCCGAGGAAAGGCACCCTGTCTGAGTCACAGGAAAGGCTGGCTCACAGGAGTGGGCCTTCCTCCCCACGACAGCCGGCTCACCAGGGACAGCAACCCTGCTTGCTGGCTCCCTCAGCCATCTGTGGGGCCCAGAATGTGCCAGAAAGGTCAACAGCACCAGGAGTCAATGCACATGTAAACCTGTCTTCCTGAGGAGATGCTAGAAAGGGCTGACCTCTGGCACCTTCCACGGCTCATAAACCCTGCAGACACTAACTTACAGCTGCAAACGTGGTCCTCTCTCACTCCAGGCCCTGCCAGTCCCATGCTTCCCCACCTGTTTCGGCCTCTATCACGGATGGAATTGCGGACAGAACTTGCCCACAGGATCTAGGTCGGGAGGAGTCTGAAGTGGGGGAGCAGAATGGTTTCAAAGGATGTGTTAATTTTTTAAAAAATATATTTTTATTGCCTTCAGAGAGGACGTGAGAGGGAGAGAGATAGAAATGTCAATGATGAGAGAATCATTGACTGGTTGCCTCCTGTAGGCTCCACACTGGGGATTGAGCCTGCAACCGGACATGTGTCCTGACTGGGAATCGAACTGTGACCTCCTTGTTCATAGGTGGACACTCAACCACTGGGTCACGCTGGCTGGGCTAATCTTTAAAGTAGTCACTACTATTTATTTGATAGACAACCAGTCTTTAAAACCACTTTCCTAAAGAAATTATCTCCCCAATCAAATTTTTGAAATTTGCCAGTTGTTCATATCAACTTTCAATTGAAATAGGAGCACCTTAGGGCTGAGGGCTGTGAGAGTCTTTGGTTGGGGGCAGAGTCAAGAGAACTGGGCAACCGCTCTGACTCCAGCCTTAATGCCCACCTGCCTCAGCTTTCCAACCTGTGATATGGGAACAGCATTGTTTCCTCTCGCTGCCTCACGGGGCCCGTGAGACTATAAAAACCTGGCACACATGGACAGAGGAGGGGCATTTGTAAACTGAGAATGTCTGACAGGAAAGATAAATAATGCCGTAGACCAGGAGTAAGCATAGTTTGAAATTGTAGTTTAAAAATATTTCTCAAGTTTTTATAAAACTGACTACTGTACAGGTTAACCGAGCAGAAGGCATGGTGCCCAGCAGCCCTCCCTGTCTCCGTCCGGCAGGAGCAGCTCCGTCTCAGCAGGCGATGATGCTGATACCTGCTGAGCAGAGGCCCGATGGGGTAACAGATGGGCCCACCTCCCAGCAGGTCACATGCATCAGCTGAAAAGGCACCTTCACCTCACAGCCTGGGCACTGGTCCCAACAGCAGCCTCCATGAGGAGTAGCTGCCAGTGCCCGCCTTGTCAGGCTTCCAAAGGGCTGGGGGTTGGGGTGGGGTTTGGGGGGGTGGAGATAAATGCTTTGGAATAGAGGACATTTGGGTCAAAAGGTAGAATCGCTGAGATCATTTTCTTTGCAAAATGATGACATAATAACCCAGCTCCACATCACACTTCCCTCTTCACCCAGGGCAACCCCAGGCTCACAGATTGATGCATGCCCAGCGGCACATAAAGATGCACAGATTGGCGTAGGGTATAGCATTCGTCCTGGATACAAAACCCAAACCATAACTTCAGGGCAGGAGTGAGGTCGAAGTGGGGCCTGCATGCAGCTGGTCTGTGTGTCCCATCACCACAGCCAGTGGCTGTCGCCACCACCGAAGTCACACAGCCACGCCAGTCGGCTCTGCCAGGAGTGGACGGAGGGCGCGAGGTGCTGTGGCCACCAGCCCAGACCGTGAGTGAAGCTGCAGTCCACTCTGAGGGCAGGAGCACAGCCGGAGCCCTGTGTGCCCAGGAGCCAGGGTGTCCATCTGGCCCTGCCCAGCTGTGCTCTGACACACTCATCCGCTGTCTCAACCTGAGGACTTCGCAGTCCTGACACGCCTGACCTCCGCAGGGACTGGCAGAGTGCAGGCTTCAGGCAAGCGGATGGGCTTTCCTGGGTATTAAACAACCTGGCGCTGGGCCAGGAGAGCAGCCCGAGGTCTCCTGGGGCTGCTGAGACACGCGGTCACCAGTAGGCAGGAGAGCTCCGGAAACCTTCCTCCCGGCCCAAAGTCTTGCATGGATCTGACCTCCCCACACTCTCTGCGGCCCAGTGCCGGCCTGTGTCTGTGCAAACACGTCTTCAGCCTGTCACCCTTGTTCCAGGGGAACCCCCGTGGTGGAGTGGGAAGAGAGGGCTCCGGCACTTCTGCCTGCAGGGCGGCCAGCACCTCCCTGGGCTCTCAGAATGTTCTGGAGAGATGCAATGGCTGGATGGCTGAGTGCATGGGCTGGTGGATGTTTACTAGTTCTAGTTGCTATCGCCTCCACACCTCCGATCAGAAGTGTGAACAGAAACCCTGTTTCCAGAAGACTCTTAGACACACACGAAGCAGGAGTCTGCAGCCGGGTGTTCCTGAGCCCTGGCCGCTCTGCACGCCGAGGGAGGTGTCTGGCCTGACTGTAAGGGGCTGCGAGGAGTGCCCACAGCTTGCTCCCCGTGTGCAGCCGGCTTCCCTCTGTCTAGTATGTGTTCCAGGTCCGCACACCCGGTCCCGGCGGAGGAATGGTGAAAGGGGAAGGATCACGACCTGGCTGATGTTAACCAGGGCTCTCTCCTGTCTCTCTGGCTGGGACCTCACTCAAGACCCTCATCCACGTTGTGGCTGTTCTGAGCAGCGCGTTGTGCTCACCCCCCAGGCTACCCCTCAAACTGCAGTGTCGGATGCAGGAGGCATCTCGGTCTAAGGAGCCTGTGCGCTCGCATCACCCAGACCCATCGCCCGCTGAGAGGTGTCAAAGGAGGCTGGCATCAAAGTGTCTGCCCTCAGGGCCAAAACGCCTGCCTGTCATCTAAACTCCACAAACTGCGTTGCCATAGAGACAGGAACAGCTTTACCTCTGGAGGTGCAGCCATTGGCCGGGTCAATCTCTTTCCCATCCACTTTGAACGCCCAGCGGCCGGGAACGTTGACGTTGGTGGTCTCCTGGATGTTCACAATGTCGGGGGTTCTGGACCCCGGGAGGCTGAAGAAGTTGCTGAGGTTCCCACCGTTAAATCCTGCCTGAAGTGCAGAAGGGAGACGAGCCTGAGCACAAACACTACCCGCTGGTTAACCTGCCCGAACACCTTCTTCTCCCAACACAGCCTGCCTCGTTCATGCTGCACCAGATCAGGGTTTCAGCCTCCCAGTCTCCACAACCACCAGACATCCTTCCCTCCTTAAGAGCTCTGGGCAGGACTCCCTTCAGGACACCAGGAAGCATGACAGAGTGCAGTCAGAGATCCCCACCTGTGCCATCACCCCCCCCAAGTCAGTCAGGGATCCCCCCCTGTGCCATCACCCCCTGAGACAGTCAGGGGCCACCCCCCTGGGCCATCACCCCCTGAGACAGTCAGGGGCCACCCCCCTGGGCCATCACCCCCTGAGACAGTCAGGGGCCACCCCCCTGGGCCATCACCCCCTGAGACAGTCAGGGGCCACCCCCCTGGGCCATCACCCCCTGAGACAGTCAGGGGCCACCCCCCTGGGCCATCACCCCCTGAGACAGTCAGGGGCCACCCCCCTGGGCCATCACCCCCTGAGACAGTCAGGGGCCACCCCCCTGGGCCATCACCCCCTGAGACAGTCAGGGGCCACCCCCCTGGGCCATCACCCCCTGAGACAGTCAGGGGCCACCCCCCTGGGCCATCACCCCCTGAGACAGTCAGGGGCCACCCCCCTGGGCCATCACCCCCTGAGACAGTCAGGGGCCACCCCCCTGGGCCATCACCCCCTGAGACAGTCAGGGGCCACCCCCCTGGGCCATCACCCCCTGAGACAGTCAGGGGCCACCCCCCTGGGCCATCACCCCCTGAGACAGTCAGGGGCCACCCCCCTGGGCCATCACCCCCTGAGACAGTCAGGGGCCACCCCCCTGGGCCATCACCCCCTGAGACAGTCAGGGGCCACCCCCCTGGGCCATCACCCCCTGAGACAGTCAGGGGCCACCCCCCTGGGCCATCACCCCCTGAGACAGTCAGGGGCCACCCCCCTGGGCCATCACCCCCTGAGACAGTCAGGGGCCACCCCCCTGGGCCATCACCCCCTGAGACAGTCAGGGGCCACCCCCCTGGGCCATCACCCCCTGAGACAGTCAGGGGCCACCCCCCTGGGCCATCACCCCCTGAGACAGTCAGGGGCCACCCCCCTGTGCCATCACCTCCTGAGACAGTCAGGGGTCACCCACCTGTGCCATCACTCCCCCAAGACCTGTCAGGGGGTCCCCGCCGCTTGCTGTCCCCGTGGTCCAGTTGATTTCATAGTAATTGAAGAGCGTGAATGTGTGAGAGCCATCAGACACCAGGACGGCCTGGAAGGTGTTCACCTGCAGGTGGGAATGGATGGGCTGTGACTCCCACTGCCCAGTGGCAGCTCCCTGCACTCTGCCACCTCCCTGCCCCCAGCAGCTCAGGGCTGTGCCCGGCGCTCACGCTCTGCGTCCTCTCGGAATGTGTCCTCGCCTCGAGTGGGGAAAGCAAGGCGTGGAGGACAGTGCGCCGGACAGAGAACCACCTAGAGGCCTGAGAACCACCTAGAGGCTGGCTGGGGCCGCTCCCCCGCTCTGACCGCCTCAGACCCAGAACGCCGAGCTCGGCTCAGCTGTGCCGAGGTGCAAGCAGATGGCAGCAGGAGAATGAGCTGCAGGAGCTGCAGGAAGCATAGGCAGGGAAGGGCTGAGTGCCGGGGGGCGACTGGTAGAGCATGTGTTCTCTCACTTCCCAGAGGGCACTGGGGAGAGGGGTGCCCCTCCCTTTTGGACAGGGCAGCGGAAAGTGATTTTCACGGAGCACTTTGTGGGGGAAACTGCTCCCTAATTGAGCATTCATGCATCACTTTGTATCTGCAAAAGTCTCAGCACTCATCTGTAGCTCAGACCAGCACTGAGACGGGCCATTTTGGGCGACTCCCATCTTACAGCTTAAAAACTGAGAAGTAAGGGACATGAGTTGCTGGAAACCTGACGATGGCCCGGCCACAGAAGACAGGACTCAGCCAGAGCCCAGCCATCTCCTGGCACCACGCTGTCCACTCAGACTCTTCGCTGAGCTTTTCAGGACGGAGATGTTCTATACATTCGAGTGAGCCTTGCCAACAGCTTTTGGGAACAGGCTGTAGCGAATGCTGTCCTTTACTGCTTCCCTTTGCTAACCCCACCCCGTCACACATTTCAGGAAATTAAATTAAAATAGAATTAAAAGGAGAGGCTGCTTTGACCTTTTCCATTCTGACCCAGTATCCCCACTGCCGATACCATCATGCTGGCATTCTGTCGAATGCAGAGGACCCACATCCTTATCCCAGGTAATCAGACGGCGCAGAGGATCCTGGACGCCCCAAATCGCAGCCCCCCCCCACCCCCGAGGGTCCCGGGGGAGGCAAGGTGAGAGCAAAGAAAAGCCCTTTCTGTCCCTGAGGACTTTCTCCTCGAGCTCTGGGACTGACACTGCTGATGGCGATGACGATAGAGTCGCCCAGGCATGTGCCTCCATTCTTTGCTCTGCTCAACCGAAAAGGAAAGTGGGGCAAGGAGATGAGCAAGCAGCCCGCTAAAGATCGCCTGAGGTCACAGCAGGGTCATGTTCAAGGCCCAGGCACAAAGTCAAGGTCGCAAGGTTACACGAGGACTAAAGCTACAGTCCCCCAGTCCAGGCTTCTCCTTCAGGAAGCGGATTCCTCCACCTGAAAACCAGTTGGGTAGATCTGTGGTCCAAGCAGGTCTCAAGTGCAGCCCATGTCTGATCCCAGAAGTCACTCAACCAGCCAGCCACCCCCCAGCACCCGGAGGCCCTGCCCTGGGCACCTGGAGGCTCGCTCTCACGCCTCTACATGTACACCTCCTCCACATTAGTTTGAAGACTTCTCCAGACCTGCTTTTGTAAAACAGGTTTTAATTCTTAAAAACCCTCGTATACTCCAGAGGACTTCTAATGACACCTGAGGAGGCAGCCGAGAAAACAGCTCAGGACTAGTGTTCGGAGACTTCAGTTTGCACTTGCTCTCCCTCCTCTGAGGTTCGCTCTCTTCTTCCACTCTGGCAGGTTGTCTAGCCTCTCCGGGCCTGCTCTCACCTTTAGCGGCGCATCCTGCGAGGCTGCATGAGTGCAGAAATGGCCTCGCACAGAGCCGAGCTCAGAGCAAGCCTCCAGGAAGCATCAGCTCTCCCTCTGTCAACCCAGTGGTTCTCTGAGCCCTGCTTCCTGCTCCTTGCTGCTCTTCCCTTCCTGCTGCGCCTCTGAGACCTTCTGCCTCTCCCAAGCCTCTCAGGCCCCGGGCAGGGCCTGCGGTGAATGGGCTCCTCCGAGGAAGGGGCCTGGGGTGAAGGGAGATGGAGAGGAGGCCCATTTCAGTGCAGGGAAAGGCATGGCGGCAGCTCCGCGGGGGTTGTACTGTCTTCTTCTCCAAGGAGCTCAGGACATTCAGCTGTTACCTCATTCGTCCTTGTTGAAGGTGTTCTCACAGTCCAGACATTTACTCAAAGGACAAGCCAGAAAGGACCTAAATTATCTTGCCATTCTTATTGCCAACGGAAGTTGTTTGAAAATGCGGTGGCAGCATTTGGTTGGCGTTCCTCCCTTCCCCTCCGGGGGTGGGGGGGCACTAAGGTCAGTGCCCCCTGGCGGCTCACATTCTAATGCTCTGCGCAGGAGCCCGCTCTGAGCATGAGCCCGCTGCTCACAGGCCTTGCTGCGCCCAGAGCCCCCTGGCGCTGAAAGTGACCCAGGCCCAGGTGCTCGCACGTGCCCACCTCTGCCTCCAGCTCAATCATTTCTGTTCCTCCCCAAACAGCTGACTCATTGCCACGGAAACAGGAAAGCAGGGGGGATGGAAGCAACCCTCAGGGAGCAGAGCGCCGATTTCTGAGGGCATTCGCTGCTGGAAACACTGCACATGAAGGCACATCTGCTGCCTCACAGCTCCCCGCGGCCAGTCAGCCTGAAGCCGAGGGCTTTGCGGGAGGTGTGCCTGTTGCTGACTGGAGGGAGCGGAGCTGACGTATCTACAATAGCGCCAGTGCCATCTTTCTGATCGGACTTTTGTTTAACATCCTCAGAGCAGATGTTAAAACTTTACTCTGTGAAATGCTTTAATCGCCCAATTAGCATCAAATCTGAATGCACAGTAAAAGAAAGGTCGTAACATAATAAAATCAGTCAGGTCATTTGTGCCCCAAATCAGCACCCCATTTCCTTGTCCTACCAGGTTTTGTGGGGGAAAGGACAAAAAAAGGGGGGATTAGCTGATGAAGAGAGGCAGTGCCTCAGACAAACAGAGGGACCTCAGGTTCCTCAGGGGCCCTGACCGTGCGATGGGATCTGGTCTCTGCCTCAGTCCCTCTCCTGCAAAATAGACGTGGCACCTCCTGCAAGGAACTGGCCGGCTCCTTCTCACATTCGCGATGCTGAACGACAGGGCTGCACAGCCTCAGAAGGGCCACGGCCGCCAGGACTGGCGAGGTTACCCTCTCCCTCTGTGGCCTGGAAAGTGGGCGGCACGACTCATCCACTGAACTCAAGGAAAGGGATGCTCCGCGGCTCTGACAACAGCTCCTTCATGGAGGTGGAGACAGACAAGAAGCGGGTGGCAGGGGGGAGCGCGGAACACAGAAAATGTGGGTTATTACGGGCGTGGTGCTGCTCCCTCCGTAAAACGTGACTTCCTCCCAGGTCACAATGAAGACCCACGTGGCCGAGAAGGCTGCCATGTCCTTGAAGTGCTTCCTGATGTCCTTGGTGGCTCTTGTCAGGATGGCAGGGTCCATGGTCTCTCTGTAGTAGATCTCGCCTCGGATCCCGTTGTGCACGTCTGCCCAAAACGGGGCGATGAAGGCCCTCCCGTCCGTCAAGGGGAAGGACTCGGGTGTGAACTGGCTCACCAGCACGTTGAAGGAGACAACGCCGTTGTTATTGACCTAAAAAGTAAGACAGGCTTTGCATGATGGATCCGTAACCGTGACAACTCTAGAGTCCTAACCCACACAGACCTCCGCCTGATGGGTGAATGGAAACCCTGTTCATGGAGTCAGAACCCCCAGCGTGGCTCAGCCAGGAGGCTTGTTTACTTTTAAACTCAGTGATTTGCTTCCACTTTCACCGTGTCATTAGCTGCGTTTCTTATTCATAATCAGTCTCACTTCATGTTTTGATCCTATCTCTGTTCAGGTGTGTGTGTGTGCATGTGTGCGTGTCTTTGCGTGTGTGTGTGTGTGTGTGTGTGCGCGCGTGTGTGTGTGTGTGAGTGTGCGTGTGTATGTTCCGCCAGGCAGGGAGTAATGTGGGCAAAAAAGAAGATCCAGAGTCACAGGAGAGATAAAACATGGAAGCAAAATGTTAAATTAAAACCTGAGGAGCTCTCTGTATTAGACCTTGATTTCTACTCTATGACAAGAGAGGGGTGTCAGGAAAAGAAAGCCAAATGCTTTCTCCTCTAAGTCCACTCTCAGCCTCTCCTCTCTGGATGAGGCATTTAAAGGACTTCTAGGACATTCCAACCACTTACTCAGTCTCCCGGGGGTTTTCGTGATTCGCTGGTGTGTTCGTAAACTTGTAAATTACAAAACCTCACTGCAAACCATGAGCCAGTCTGCACTCAGGCGACACGGGTGTGCCTTCACCTTCTTCTCCATGTGCCACAGCCTCACTAGGACCAAACCCAACCAACCCACCAACGCCCTGAGCACACGGTTGCCTGGAGAGCAGACGGTGCCATTTCTTCATGTGTGTCTGCCCCAGGCCCTATGGCCTATCTCAGACACCATGAGGGCGGCCAATTCTGCAAACGACATTTATGTAACAGCTGGTTCCCCATTTCTGCGCCCTGACTCCTCTCCCAGTTGGTGGAAAGCCCGAGAACAGACACAAACTTTTCACACCCTCAGGGAAAGAAAACGATCCTGCTCCGAGTAGCTTTTCATCTTATCGGGTAGCAAAGTAATGTCCATGGCTCGCAGCTGTATTATCCTGCCTGTTGCGAATATCAGCCATTAAATACCCCTTCGAGCTCCTTAATCATAAAATCTACCAGTTCATGATATCTCTGAGCCTGCCCCTGGGGCTGCCAACAACTCCTCTCGCTCCTGGGGCCCGGAAAGTGTTTAAATGTTTTCACTTCTGACAAACAAAGGGGAAGGCACAGAGCACAGCGTGCCGCGTCTCTACTTACATAGACAGTGCGGTAAGGCACGCCGAAGAAGAAGATGGGGATGGCCAGCTTGATCTCGGGGGAGCTTCCGTCGTCTACTTTGGGGGTTTTGGTGTCATTCTGCCAAAATGGGTACATAAGCTCCCTGGGCTGAGCTGTCAAGAGAGTCGGTGGTTAGATGGACGGCAGATCCCACCCCATTGCCTAAGCCACTTCCCTCCCACCCATGAACCCAGCTTCCTCCAGGAAGTCTTGCAAACCAGACGTAAGTCAGACTCCCTTTCATCCCTGTAAACCCCCCTCACACCGCACTGCCTTTGGCCTCTGGGGAGGGGAGAGCAGTGCCTCTCCTCAGGAGCACTCAGGCCATGCTCCATCCACGCTCCATCCACGCTCCATCCATGCTTCCAGACATCGTGGCGCGAGCCATGTTCACACAGTGGCAGGAGCTGTGCGGCCGCCCTGCCCGGGGCTCTTGGAGCCTGAGCCACCTCCTGGTCCCAATGGCTTAGGCAGCTTGACCCTTGGCCAGAGGGAAGGGCGCAGAGAAGGTGGCTCCTAGCTGTGCCGCTCCCCCGGTCTCCAAAGTGCTACTCTCCTGTCTTTTCCTGAAAGGAGTCCCCTCCCTCCACTGCACAATAGGAGGAGAGCCCAGGTCCCAGGAGTAAAGAAAACAGCTGGACCTGGGACAAACCGGGAGGAGGGTGTGCAGAACTGGCCTGCAAGTGGCCCTGGTTGAGGTCCAGCCCTGGCGGATGGCTCTCTGCCAGCTCATGTCCACAAAGGGCAGCATGGGATCCTCTGGGTGGAGGCGCTGGGGCCTGGAGGACTCTGTGGGGAAGAGGCTGAGGGCTCTAACTCATCAGCCTGGCCCGGTGAGCATCAGCTGCGAGCACACTCCCCTCACATGGCTGCCACCACCTCCCTGGCAGCCTGGCCTGTTTCCCCTCCAAACCAGTGTGTGGGTGTGTGGGTGTGTGGGTATGTGTGCGCATGTGTGTGTGTGTGTGTGTGTGTGTGTGTGTGTGTGTGGCCCCGTTTAGTGATAGAAAGTAGACAATTTCCCAAGGGTCAACATACAGGACTTGACCAGATGCTCCAGGCCAGGGGCAGGACCGCAGGTGGCCTGCCCAGATGGAGAGCTCAGCTGCTTCCCAGGGTAACATCAGAAGGAAGCAGGGAGCGCTAGGCCTACTGACCATTAGTGTATTATTGTTCCCCAAGCCCCATCTCTGGGGAGCCATCCAACGTCACCTTGTAGGAGGCGCTGTAGCTGATTCAATCACAGGTGCACTGCTGGTGTGCTTTACTTAGAGCAGTGGTTCTCAACCTTCCTAAAGTCGCAACCCTTTAATACAGGTCCTCATGTTGTGGTGACCCCCAATTTCATTGTTACAAATTGAACATAATTAAAGCATAGTGATTAATTACAAAAACAATATGTAATTATATATGTGTTTTCCAATGGTCTTAGGCAACCCCTGTGAAAGGGTCATTCGACCCCCAAAGGGGTCGCGACCCACAGGTTGAGAACTGCTGACTTAAAGTCACAACCAGGGGGCAAAAAGGGGTTCTTGAACATTTGTATTTGCACAGAAGTACCACATTCAAAATTCCTAGGACGTAGGAATGTTTAAAAAATCTATAATCCCTATTGTAGAATTATACACAGTTATTAAACTTGCAAGGTGATAAACTTTCTCAAATTAATAATAATAAAGCAAATCATGTCATGGGTTTATCCTTCATGAGCAACTATTTAGAAGAGATGCCCACGTGTGAACAGGCTTCTGTTCACACTGACCTGCAATCACTTCAACGGGAAGGTTAACCAGCATGTGGCAGCCGTGGCCACCCCGCCTGGGACACGCAAAAGCCACACCCCCAGGAGGCGGCAGAACTGTGGCCATCCGGGCAGCCCCTCGCTTCTCTCTCTGCTCCAACCAGGGTAACCTGGGAAGAGTTTTCTCTTCATGAGTGGCCCCAACTATGCATGGTTTTGAACAGGAAAGAATGGACAGTTAAAACTTTTTCCATTTTAAGAAGAATACAAATAATAAAGATATGTAATATTGTATATGTTTAACAAAGACTTGTTGAATAATAAAAGGTGCTTAATAAAAGGGAGTAGGTTTAACTATAGTGATTTCCACCTTGGAACCATCAGTATTATAAAAAAAATACAACTTGTTAACAGATGACCTATTTATTGCCACCAGAGCTCATGAGAGAGGGAATCACTCGCTCCAGGGGGGATTTCATAGACATCACTCTGCTCCCGGACTTTGGCCGTTTTTGTTTTTGTTTTATTTACCAAATAAAATGTACTTGCTTAGAGCAGGGGTAGGAGATGAGAGTCAGTGGGGCACTCATGGGGGTTGCATGCTACACTGTTTGAATTTGCCCAGCCCTCGGAACATGTCAGATGTGTGATCATGTGCCAGTGAACCAGACAAACAAACAATACAAAGAATGATGCTTTAGAATTTTAGTGATAAGCGTTTCAAATCCATGTAGACTTCCCCACCTTTCTTTCCTAAAATCCAAAACAGCGGAAAGAAATGTTGTGTCTTCTCGCTGCCCCGGCCACGCCGCGCAGAGTGGAGAAGGAGTCGCGGAGGGAGGGCGATCATGTGTGTCTCACTGCGGCTCAAGTTTCTGGCCGCGTAGAAGGTCACTGACCTAGGGCACCCACACCAATGCCATTGAACTCACTGATTTGGGGTAAAACAAGTGTATTCTTTAAAGTCCCCATGCCTTAATGGGGATCAATCATGAGGTCTGGGCAGCATACACACCTGCCCTATATGCTTTTAATGAAAATAATTTGCATTTTCTTAAAGACCCATTATCATGGGGCAATCCAGTGTATACACAAATGGTGTTCACAGTTAAATAAGAAAAGTAAGGCCGAAACAGGTTTGGCTCAGTGGATAGAGCGTCGGCCTGCGGACTGAAAGGTCCCAGGTTCGATTCCGGTCAAGGGCATGTACCTGGGTTGCGGGCACATCCCCAGTGGGAGATGTGCAGGAGGCAGCTGATCGATGTTTCTCTCTCATCGATGTTTCTAACTCTCTATCTCTCTCCCTTCCTCTCTATAAAAAAATCAATAAAATATATTAAAAAAAATAAGAAAAGTAAGGATATAACTAAACAAGTTATTCAGTGTCACTGTATTTTGCTTTTGACCACAACATTTCATTTACATTTTCTGTTGCATCTGTAGGCACACGTAGCCCTGACAATGATAGTTGCACCACAGCATCCCTTCATACATTCAGGAGCACGCGGATCAGGAGTGTACACAACCCTGCAGGACTCACCTCGGTGCTGTATCAGCGCGAAGATGAAAGAAACCCAGATCCGAAGGAATGAGGAGTAATTCATCCTGGAAGGTCAAACAGAAAGAGGGGAAGTCCCAGCAGGCCAGGCCGATGTGACACCAGGGGTGCTCAGTGGCGAGTCCCAGGCACGAGGCACCATCACAGGACAAACTCCCAGGACACATCACGGAACTGAGTGGGGCTGCGGCTCCACGCTGGCAGGGCCCCCAAGTTCAATGCTCCATGAACAAATCAGACTCCCCCATGAAGCCAGCTTGGACGTGTGATGAGATCATGCAATCACCCGGAGATTACACAGAAGCCCTGGGGGCAGCAGAGGAGCAGAAAGCCAGCCAATCTGGCCCCTGAGCCCCGGGCAGTGGGGGCTCTTGAGGACGCAGGCCGTGCTGGGTCCCCCCGGAGACCAGGCTCCTCCGACTCTCACAGCAGCTTCCGATGAGGTTCAGGTAAAGGTCAATTGAACAATGCAGCCCCTTGCAGGTGGGGAAGCTCTGAGTGCGCTGTCCCCTTCTCCACAGCAAGGTCACCCACCATCGGTAGCTCTGACGGGGGCGGGCGGGGGGAGTACAGGCTGCCCACTGCTCCCACCAGGGTGAGCACATCTAGGGTGATAGGCAGGGGACCCTGCCAGGGCTGCCCCTCAGAACGACAGCAAGAACAGGACTCAACACGCAAGCCAGTCACTAGTCCAGCAAAGTGACCGAGGAGCTCGCGGAAGTGGACCTGCTTGCATGTCGGCGGGAGCAGCTGAGCAGGCTGTGCTGCCCCTCAAGGGGTGCGGACCGTCCGGCCGCCCGTCAGGCTGAGAGGCAGCTCCAAGGCGCACGCACCTGCCCCAAACCAGGGCAGGGAGACCGCAGGCTGCTCGGCCGCCCGTCAGTGCACACCTCCTCCTACTCCTCGAGGTTCCCCCAGCTCCTCAGCCAACAGCCACGGGCCAGCAGGACCCTGCCCTGCCCTGGGGGCGTTTTGTAAATCTCCAGGGTCAGGCACACTCGGAAACCTGCAGTGCTCGGCGAGGCACAGCCTTCCTGGCAGCGGCGTGAGACCTGCCGAGACCCCAGCCTTGGCAGGGGGATGCGGTGCCCGGACCCCGAGCCCTCGAGCCATAAGGAGAACTCACTCAAGCATCTGCATTTACGGAATATGTCACTAACCTGTTCTGTAGAGGCTGGAGGAGCCGAGTCAGGAATATTAAGCCAAATCTTGGTAAACCAGGAAAACTCAGGCAAAACACGAATCCATGTCAGTTCTCCCCCTCCTGCTGCCAATTATTGCTGATTCCTGAAATGATGTCTGAATCGCCTACTCTTAAAACCAAAAATTCAGTTACCCTGCACTCGAGGCAGGCGAGTGTTGAGTTGCAATCAAGTTCTTTCTATTGATTAAGGAAAAGTACATCTAAAGATCAGTTTCAGGATCCTGGAGAAAGGTTCCTTTCCTGAGAAACCAGACCTCCCCCAGCCCTCGAAAAAGGAGATTCAGATGGAAATGTCAGGTACTCGGAGCTGAAACCCCAAGCCTTTCTGATCGGAATCGCTTTGCACTGAAAACACAAAAGAAACCCCCCTTCCACCTTTGTACCAAAAAAAGGCAACTGGATAACGTTACAGGATTAGCATTCAGCAGCATGGGACTGAGAGGAGACAAAGCGGGCTCCCACATTCAGATGGAGCTGGTTTCTCCTCAGTCTGTTCAGTCCTGTGGCTTGAGCGTGGCCACAGGCAGGCTGCGCTGTGTGTGCACAGGTGTGCACGCCGCTGTCACGGACGGAGCCTTCTCAGCTCGCCTGGGCTTCCTTCTCCCCTCTCCTCACCGGCCTGCCCTGCGGGAGCCCAGGGCCCTTCCTAGCGAACGGAGGGAGGTGACCAGGGACTGCTCTTCCCCAGGAAGCCAGGCCCGGCCCTGGAACCCTCGGGCCCAGGGAGGGCCCTGGGAGGAGATGGGAACATGTGCAGTAAGTAAAGAATTTACAAGGTCTTGTGAACAAGGGAAACACTTGTTAAGATAAATGAAGAATGAGAAAAGTTGGCTAAGACATAAACTAAGATTACTATTCAAAACATTTAGAGTGAGATTTGTTTAAAACAAAAGCATTTCAATGCAGCAGAAAAAAACTGTATGTCAATCATGGGAAATTTTAAATGACTCCAGATTTGTCCCTGACCAGACAAAACCATACAAAATCATATAATTTCAGCTTTGAGCAAGTTGTCCTACAATGGACAAGAGTATTTGGGGAAGTCATTTTTTAGTATAAATTTTCCAATGTCTTTCTAAAAACCCATGGTATTTGGGACGTTTTGCACACTAAGCTTACTCTGGTATCATGAATCCTCCACATATATTTACCTGGAGACATCAAATGTTCTTTTCCTCCCCAAGCACATATTTATATGACAGAAAATCTGATTTTTGACGCCTCATCCAAATAAAGCCAACTCTGGACTCGCCTGGAGAGCCTCTCCCGTCGTCAGTGGGTCCATCCTGGGCCGGCCGTGGGGCTAGAAGCGGAAGAGCCGCTCTGCTTTCAACACGGCTGGTGGCATCCCCACGCGCTGCCTTCTTCCTGAACGTGCTCAGGGCTGTCTGCCTCTCAGGCCTTTGACCCACATTAAATGCGTCATCTTTCTCGAGGCAGGACTCCTACTGAGATGAATGCCACCTGGGCATAGGGAGGTGCCCGAGGTGGAGGCCTGGCTGAGAGGACCGCCTGGAGCACCGGCGGGCATGCCAGGTGCCGGGCCGACGGGCCGGGTGGACTGGAAAGCTGGTCAGTGAGTGTGTATTTCAAGTGTTCACTCGGTTACAGATGGAGAAATGACAAACTCTCTCTTTTTTTTTTTGTCGTTTTTTATATCGTACATGTTTTAGATTATTTTAGACATTTACTTCAGAACAGTTGGCACGCAGGGTCATGTTAGTTCCAGGTGGAGAGCAGTGATCACACATGCAGCAGGATAAGCCCCGTGCCCCGGCTCCACACACGTTTTGAGCACAATGGGAGTGCCTCCAGCTCGGCTGCGTCGCCTCCCGAGGCTGCCTCTGTGACTGCAGTTTGCGGGAGCCCCTGCTGCCTTCGTCCTCCCCGGGCCTCCAGCGTGGTTGCAGGTGGTTGTCTGTATCTGTGAGTCTGGACAAACAGCTTTTTTATGACATGTGGGCAGGAGGCTTCTGACAAGATTCAGACCGAAGGTGGGTGAGGCCACAGGGGCCCTAACCCAAGGGGCCTGCACTGCCACTTGGGCAGGAGACACTGGAAACGAAACAAACACAAACAGGTGATTCCCTAAAAACCAGCCTGGCTGGCCGGCTCAGGGGCTGAGCATCTACCTGGGAACAAGGAGGACATGGGCGATGCCCTATCAGGGCACATGCCCGGGTTGCAGGCCCAATCCCCAGGAGGGAGTGTGCAGGAGGCAGCTGATCAATGATTCTCTCTCATCTTTCTCTCCCTCTTCTTTCCTCTCTGAAAGCAAATAAAAGTATATTTAAAAAAATAAAATAACTAAAAACATGTAGAATGGGCCTTATGTGCTGATTGGTTTTGTTTTTATTAAGTTTCTTACACCTTTCCTGTGAGAGAGTTTTGAGCTCAGTTGAAACAATGCAGTGATCAGTGTGGTTGTGAGTTCTTCCAGGCTCGACCTCAAAGCTGGCGTCAAGGGCACACATTCTTGGGGAGGACCAGCCAGCAACTGGGCGTGGTGATGGGACAGCATGTGGTGGTGGGACAGGGCGTGGTGGTGGGACAGGGTGTGGTGGTGGGAGAGCGTGTGGTGGTGGGACAGGGTGTGGTGGTGGGATAGCGTGTGGTGGTGGGACAGCGTGTGGTGGTGGGACAGAGTGTGGTGGTGGGACAGCGTGTGGTGGTGGGACAGGGTGCAGATGCGGGGCTTGAGATCAGGGAGAGTCCCAGCACTGCCCAGGCCAGGGGCAGTTGAGCCTGAGGAGGGAAGGAGAGGCTGCACCCTCAGAGCTGCTGGCCTCCCAGCCCACACACACTGGGCCTGGGCAGGGGGGCCCTTACCCACTGGCAGGGGCGGGGAGGGAGGGCCCCCTGGGCTGGGCTGCTATGAGGCGCTCAAGTGAGGAGGCGCCACACACAACAGGGGGCCTGCTGGGCCTCCAGGGAGCAGCCTTACCTGCCAGCACTCAGGAGCCTGAGGAGAGTGAGGCCTCACTGCCTGGGCTGCAATGCCAGCTCCTGGGACAGACGCTGAGAAGGGGGTGGAAGGCTAGGGGCGGGAATTGCTGCATCACACGCGTTATGTGCGTCGGGAGAGCTGCCTGATGATCAGGCTCCACGGGAAGCCCCCAGTGCCCGCTATGGCCGCAGAGGCACGCAGGAGGCTCTCCCCTGCCCTCCTGGGCTCCCACCCCCAGGGCTCCCCGTAGGCAGCGTGGGCGGCAGGGGCACAGAACTGGCTCCCCCATGCGGTGGCACATGGCCCCTGAAGGCAGAGCAGGGCGGCTCCCCATTGCCTGGGGCAGGGTCATCATCTTCCCAGTGACTGACAGTTCAGTGACAGCATGGCCTGGTCCCTGGAGGCATGGAGATGGCAGCAGCGTGTGGCGTTCCAGGGGCAAAGTAGGTGGGAAGCCAATGGGGTACTGCTTCTTACCATGTCTAATCAAGAGCGAGAATTTGTGAGCAAGAGTCTGAAGGCACTGTCCTTACAATGTGTGCGCATCTGTTCCCGCTGCCTGCCCTTGGAAAGTGATGGGTTCCTGGCCGAAATCTCTCCGCTTGCTGCCTCCAGTCGCAGAACCATGCTGGCTGGAGAGGAATTCTTCCACAGGAACTGCTCGGTGCTACCTGGTGAAGAAGGACTGTAGTGTGTCCGCCCCACACCCTCTCCTTTCAGCTTCATTGCTAATGTGCTAGCAAGTCTGTCTGGGTAAAGCTAGTTGAGAGGGGGTTTTGTTGTTGTTAGGTTGGTCTACTTAGAAAAGCTGTTACAGAGTCCTTGGCTAGAGGTAGATAGTGAAGGTGCTTTCAGAAAGTATCTTTGAGTCCTTGTTTAAATTTTAGAGATGAAT